CCACCACACCTTTGGCTTAAATAGTTTCCATTGTTGCTCTTCTATATGGCCTCTATGGCTATGGGGTCCTTTTACCTGGACCCAGTTTGTTGAATATACAGCTTTCTTTGTATGGTACTTAAACATAGATAACTGCAGTCCTTTATATACAGTGGGGATGGAAAGTTTGGGCACCCCAGCTAAAAATTTGTATTAATGTGCATAAAGAAGCCAAGGAAAGATGGAAAAATCTCCAAAAGGCATCAAATTACAGATTAGACATTCTTATAATATGTCAACAAAAGTTAGATTTTATTTCCATCATTTACACTTTCAAAATAACAGAAAACAAAAAAATGGCGTCTGCAAAAGTCTGGGCACCCTGCAGAATTTAAGCATGCACTGCCCCCTTTGCCAAGCTGAGACCTGCCAGTGTCATGGATTGTTCTCAATCATCGTCTGGGAAGACCAGGTGATGTCAATCTCAAAGGTATTAAATGCCCCGACTCATCTGACCTTGCCCCAACAATCAGCACCATGGCTTCTTCTGAGCAGTTGTCTAGAAAACTGAAACTGAAAATAGTTGACGCTCACAAAGCTGGAGAAGGCTATAAGAAGATAGCAAAGCGTTTTCAGATGTCAATATCCTCTGTTCGGAATGTAATTAAGAAATGGCAGTCATCAGGAACAGTGGAAGTTAAAGCAAGATCTGGAAGACCAAGAAAAATATCAGACAGAACAGCTCGCAGGATTGTGAGAAAAACAATTCAAAACCCACGTTTGACGGCACGATCCCTCCAGAAAGATCTGGCAGACACTGGAGTTGTGGTCACTATTCCACTATAAAGAGATACTTGTACAAATATGGTCTTCATGGAAGAGTCATCAGAAGAAAACCACCTCTTCTACGTCCTCACCACAAAAATCATCGTTTGGACTTTGCAAATGAACATATAGACAAGCCTGATGCATTTTGGAAACAATTTCTGTGGACCGATGAGGTTAAAATGGAACTTTTTGGCCGGAATGAGCAAAGGTACGTTTGGAGAAGAAGGGGCACAGAATTTAATGAAAAGAACCTCTGTCCAACTGTGAAGCATGGGGTTGGATCAATCATGCATTGGGGTTGTGTTGCAGCCAGTGGCACAGGGAACATCTCACGAGTAGAAGGAAAAATGGATTCAATAAAATTTCAGCAAATTTTGGATGGTAACTTGATGCCATCTGTGAAAAAGCTGAAGTTAAAGAGAGGATGGCTTCTACAAATGGATAATGATCCTAAACACACCTGGAAATCCACGGGGGATTACATCAAGAGGTGTAAACTGAAGGTTTTGCCATGGCCTTTACAATCTCCTGACCTCAACATCATTGAAAATCTATGGATAGACCTTAAAAGAGCCGTGCGTGACAGACAGCCCAGAAATCTCAAAGAACTGGAAGACTTTTGTAAGGAAGAATGGGCAAAGATACCTCAAACAAGAATTGAAAGACTCTTGGCTGGCTACAAAAAGCGTTTACAAGCTGTGATACTTGCCAAAGGGGCAGTACAAGATATTAACTCTGCAGGGGGCCCAAACTTTTGCAGACGCCATTTTTTTTGTTTTCTGTTATTTTGAAAGTGTAAATGATGGAAATAAAATCTAACTTTTGTTGACATATTATAAGAATGTCTAATCTGTAATTTGATGCCTTTTGGAGATTTTTCCATCTTTCCTTGGCTTCTTTATGCACATTAATACACATTTTTAGCTGGGGTGCCCAAACTTTCCATCCCCACTGTACACCCTATACAGACCGGCCAGATATTTCTGTATATCGGTGTATATGAGGGTATATGTGGGGTGTTTCGTTTTTTTGTGCTGTGTCTGCAATTGTAGTTGAACCATTATCAGGTCTTACAGGCCTTTCAGCCAAAATCTTTACATGAATAAAAATTGACAATTGGTCTTTTAGATACTTTTTCTATTTTTTTCTGCCGTTAAAGTCCCCAGGGGATCATCACGTACCTTTTAGGTCTTTCTATGGATTCTATAACATACACTGCATTACATGGGTTGTAGGTCATATGTTGTCTGGTTGGAGACTTTTCCCGGAGACTTTAGATGTCATCTCCTGGCTGACATTCTGTCCCTTCCATATCTGCAGATTATCAGAGATGGAACAGGGGGGAGACAATAGAGATCCTAAAGTGGGGGCTTTACTCCTTGGCAGCCCTTGTATAGAATATCAGATGATTGCCAGGATAGAGAACGGCGGAGTTCTTCTTCATCATTCTCCCCATTTCCTGCTCTTCACCTGAAGAACGGATTCCACAAGTCACACGTGTCTGGACTTGGCTTCTGTTTAGATACATTGTGTTTCCTATCACTTCATAATCTGTTCCTTGTTCTATCAGAGGAGTTCTTCCTCCCCCTGTGTACTGCCCACTGCGGGTAGCCTCCTCTTTAGTCCTTCCTGTATAGTTACACACTCAGAATTAAAGTGGTTGGAAACCTCCGAACTGAAAAATGAACAAAGTATATCCTTCTACAGTGTGCACTGACCTCATGTCATAGCATGCGGTGTGCTTCTTATCTGCCCTCTCTTCACTCAGCTATCTGCATTAAGTACTTGTATAGCTGAGACTGTCATATGTTTTCTTATGATACCATAGAGAGGGGGTGTGTCCTTTCCCATCCACTCAGGTCTCATATTACACTCAGCTCTCATATTACATATGGAGGGTTTACATCCACTTTAATCAGATCATCAGCTGAGTAGATTCTTCTGGCACAAATTAATTCTCTCCCCCAGGACTGACTGGTTGGTATGTGCAGGGTAACAGCTGAAGGCTATCAATGTAGAATTCCCAGCACAGGATCTGTGATACGTTCTGATAAGCAGAACACCCGTTATGTGTCCCCCTCCGATGTCATACCCAAAAATCAGTCACCTTATCACTCCACTCCATCATAAGGACACTCCATCATAAGGAAATTGTACATTTACAGCACAGTTGTTACAATATTTTACAAACCGAAGCTAAATGTTGGTGATCTCTGTTCCATACCAAGTGCAGATAGTCTATGAATCCAAATCCAGTCCAACCAAATACATATATATATATACACACACATACACTATATTGCCGAAAGTATTGGGCCCTGGCCTTTCCACGAACATGACCTTTAATGGCCTCCCAGTCTTAGTCCGTTGGGTTCAATATTGAGTTGGCCCCGCCCTTTCCACGAACATGACCTTTAATGGCCTCCCAGTCTTAGTCCGTTGGGTTCAATATTGAGTTGGCCCCGCCCTTTCCACGCACATGACCTTTAATGGCCCCCCAGTCTTAGTCCGTTGGGTTCAAGATTGAGTTGGCCCCGCCCTTTCCACGCACATGACCTTTAATGGCCTCCCAGTCTTAGTCCGTAGGGTTGAATATTGAGTTGGCCCCGCCCTTCCCACGCACATGACCTTTAATGGCCCCCCAGTCTTAGTCCGTAGGGTTCAATATTGAGTTGGCCCCGCCCTTTCCACGCACATGACCTTTTATGGCCTCCCAGTCTTAGTCCGTAGGGTTGAATATTGAGTTGGCCCCGCCCTTCCCACGCACATAAACTTTAATGGCCCCCCAGTCTTAGTCCGTAGGGTTCAATATTGAGTTGGCCCCGCCCTTTGCAGCTATAACAGCTTCAACTCTTCTGGGAAGGCCGTCCACAAGGTTTAGGAGGGTGTCTATGGGAAGGTTGGACCATTCTTCCAGAAGCACATTTGTCAGGTCAGGCACTGATGTCGGGGGAGGAGGCCTGGATCGCAGTCTCCGCTCTAATTCATCCCAAAGGTGTTCTATGGGGTTGAGGTCATGACTCTGTGCAGGACAGTCATGTTCCTCCACCCCAACTGGCTCCTCCATGTCTTTATGGACCTTGCTTTGTGCACTGGTGCGCAGTCATGTTGGAACAGGAAGGGGCCATCCCCAAACTCCTCCCACAAAGTTGGGAGCATGAAATTGTCCAAAATGTTGCCTTAAGAGTTCCCTTCACTGGAACTAGGGGGCCAAGTCCAACCCCTGAAATACAACCCCACACCATAATCCCCCCCTCCACCAAACTTTACACTTGGCACAATGCAGTCAGGCAAGTATCATTCTCCTGGCAACCGCCAAACCCAGACATGTCCATCGGATTGCCAGACAGAGAAGCGTGATTGGTCACTCCAGAGAATACGTCTCCCCTGCCCTAGAGTCCAGTGGCGGCGTGCTTTACAGCACGGCATCCAACGCTTTGCATTGCACTTGGTGATGGAAGGCTTGGATGCAGCTGCTCGGCCATGGAAACCCATTCCATGAAGCTCTCTACGCACTGTTGTCTTTGGTTCTCTTTGGTCTTTGCCATGGTGGAGAATTTGGAATCTGATGGTTTGATTGCTCCTGTGGACAGGTGTCTTTTATACAGGGAACACAATGAGATTAGCAGCACTCCCTTTAAGAGACTGCTTCTAATCTCAGCTTGTCACCTGTATGAGAGACACCTGGGAGCCAGAAATCCTGCTGAATGATAGGGGATCAAATCCTTCTTTCCCTCATGAACATGCAGATCCGTCATCATTTGTTAGATGCATTTCTGCTGAATTTGTTGTTGTATTCTGTCTCTCAGTGTTACAACCGAACATTCCATTGTTAGACCGATCGTTTCTGTGTGAGGGGCGAACATTCCATTGTTAGACCGATCGTTTCTGTGTGAGGGGCGAACATTCCATTGTTAGACCGATCATTTCTGTGTGATGGGCGAACATTCAGCATCAGCCGGGGAGCGAATACACATTTCCTTCACTGTATATCCGGAGATTCCCCTCTAGGGATGTTATGTTACTTTTCCACAAATGGGAATAATTCCTCATATTCATCTGGAAATATTATATCCTGTGTCTGTATTTGTCTCTGCAGGTTGGATGGATGTGATCTGACTTCCTCCTGCTGTGATGATCTCCACTCCATTCTCATCACTAACCCATCTCTAAGAATACTGGATTTATCAAAGAATGATCTGCAGGACTCCGGAATAAAACGTCTGTGTGAGGGACTCCGACATCCTGGCTGTACTCTGCAGGAGCTGAAGTGAGTCCTTGTCTGCCATAAAAAGTCCCCAGGCTTCCTCTGTCTTGACTGTGGGCAGTGAGTGCCCATCCCCCCTCTCTGCTCCTGGTGGGGGTTCTGTTCAGGTATGAAGGTGGTATCCTATGGATATGACCCCATCCAGACTTATCCCCTTCCTGACCTGGCCAATTTCTGCTATTCTGCACTGTGCTTCTTTAACTGGTAATGCAGCGCTGCACCCAAATAAAATTTATATAATTTTTTTCCACACAAATAGAGCTTTCTTTTGGTGGTATTTGATCACCACTGGGGGTCTTATTTTTTGTGATATAAATGAAAAAAGACCAGAAATTTTGAAAAAAATGATATTTTCTACTAAAAATATTCAATAAACTCAAAGTTTGTCCTAAATTTGAGCCAAAATGTATTCTGCTCCATGTCTTTGGCAAAAAAAAAAAATCAAAATACGTGTAAATTAATTGGTTTGTGTGAAAGCTATAGAGTTTACAAACTATGGGATATACAGCGGGGAAAATATTAATTTGATCCCCCATATTGTGAAAGTTTTCCCTCTTACACAGAAATGAGGGGTCTATAATGTCTATCATAGGTGTATTTTAGATGACCGAGACAGAATATCAACCAAAAATCCAGAAACAACACCATACAAATGTTAGAAATGGAGTGGCAGTTCAGTGAGTAAAATAAGTATTTGATCCCCGAACAAAACATGACTTAGTAGTTGGTGGAGGAACCCTTGTTGGCGAGCACAGAGGTGAGACGTTCCTTGTAGTTGGTGGAGGAACCCTTGTTGGCGAGCACAGAGGTAAGGCGTTCCTTGTAGTTGGTGGAGGAACCCTTGTTGGCGAGCACAGAGGTCAGACGTTTCTTGTAGATGGTGGAGGAACCCTTGTTGGCAAGTGCAGAGGTGAGACGTCTCTTGTAGTTGGTTGAGGAACCCTTGTTGGTGAGCGGAGAGGTGAGATGTCTCTTGTAGTTGGTGGAGGAACCCTTGTTGGCGAGCACAGAGGTGAGACGTCTCTTGTAGTTGGTGGAGGAACCCTTGTTGGTGAGCACAGAGGTGAGACGTTCCTTGTAGTTGGTGGAGGAACCCTTGTTGGTGAGCACAGAGGTGAGACGTTCCTTGTAGTTGGTGGAGGAGCCCTTGTTGGCGAGCACAGAGGTGAGACGTTCCTTGTAGTTGGTGGAGGAACCCTTGTTGGCGAGCACACAGGTGAGACGTCTCTTGTAGTTGGTGGAGGAACCCTTGTTGGAGAGCACAGAGGTGAGACGTGTCTTATAGTTGGTGGAGGAACCCTTGTTGGCGAGCACAGAGGTAAGATTTTTCTTGTACTTGGTGGAGGAACCCTTGTTGGTGAGCACAGAGGTGAGACGTTTCTTGTAGTTGTTGTAGGAACCCTTGTTGGCGAGCACAGAAGTGAGACGTTCCTTGTAGTTGGTGGAGGAACCCTTGTTGGCAAGCACAGAGGTGAGACGTTTCTTGTAGTTGGTGGAGGAACCCTTGTTGGCGAGCACAGAAGTGAGACGTTCCTTGTAGTTGGTGGAGGAACCCTTGTTGGTGAGCACAGAGGTGAGACGTCTCTTGTAGTTGGTGGAGGAACCCTTGTTGGTGAGCACAGAGGTGAGACGTTTCTTGTACTTGGTGGAGGAACCCTTGTTGGTGAGCACAGAGGTGAGACGTTCCTTGTAGTTGGTGGAGGAACCCTTGTTGGAGAGCACAGAGGTGAGACATTCCTTGTAGTTGGTGGAGGAACCCTTGTTGGTGAGCACAGAGGTAAGATGTTCCTTGTAGTTGGTGGAGGAACCCTTGTTGGAGAGCACAGACGTAAGATGTTTCTTGTAGTTGGTTCCCAGGTTTGCACACATCTCAGGAGGCATTTTGGTCACTTCTTTACAGATCTTCTCTAAATCCTTAAGGTTTCTTGGATGTCGCTTGGCAACTCAAACTTTCAGCTCCCTCCATACATTTTCTATAGGATCAGGGTCTGGAGACTAGCTAGGCCACTCCATGACCTTAATGTGCTTCTTGAGCCATTCCTTTGTTGCCTTGGCCGTGTGTTTTGAGTCATTGTTATACTGGAAGACCCATCCACCACCCATTTTCAGTGTTCTGGCTGAGGGAAGAAGGGTCTCATCTTATTACAATACATGGCCCAGTCCATTGGCCCCTCAATGAGGCAAAGTCAGTCTGTACTTTTAGCAGAGAAACAGCCCCAAAGCATAATGTTTCCACCTCCATGCTTGACTGTAGGGATGGTGTTCTTAGGGTCATATTCAGCATATTTCTTCCTCCAAACATGGTGAGTCGAGTTAATGCCAAAAAAGCTCAATTTTGGTCTCGTGACCACAGCACTTTCTCCCAATCCTTAACTGAATCATTTAGATGTTCATTGGCAAGCTTTAGACAGGCCTGTACATGTGCCTTCTTCAGGAGGGGGGGGGGGGGGCCTACAGGATTTCATCCATAGTGGTGTATTGTGTTACCAATGGTTTGTTCAATGACTATGGTTCCAACTGCCTTGAGATCATTCACAAGCTCCTCCCATGTAGTTTTGGGCTGATCCCTCATTTTTCTCATGATCATCCTTACCCAATGAGGCAAAATCTTCCATGAAGCTCCAGACCGAGGGCGATTGATGGTTATTTTGTATTTCTTCCATTTGCGAATAAACGCTCCAACAGTTGTCTCCTTCTCACCAAGCTTCTTGCTGATGGTCTTGTAGCCCATTCCAGCCTTGTGCAGGTCTACAATCTTGTCCCTGACATCCATTCACAGCTCTTTGGTCTTGCCCATGGTGATGCCTAGTAATGGGCCAAAAAACCCTGTTCGGTTCGCGGTCAAACATTCAAACCTACAAAATGTTCGACCGTGAACTTGGAACACAAACAATATACAGAGCGGTATCTTCCTGCATCCGAGTATGTGGTAAGATACGGCTCAGCGACTACAATCCGGCGGGAGTTCTATGATGAAGTCACACGGTATGTTAGTAGTCAGACATTCATTCATGTTTCATCAGTGTTCATCATGTTTCATTCATGTACATAAGTGGTTCATATAGTGAGCTCAGTGTAGTCATTCCGCCTGAGGTCATCACAGAGGACAAGGGGGCGCTCTTTACGTCTGGAGGAAAAGAAATGTCATCTCCAAACACGGAAAGGTTTCTTCACAGTAAGAGCTGTGAGAATGTGGATTAGACTCCCTCCAGAGTTGGTTGTGGCCACCTCAGTGGATTGCTGTAGGAAAGTCCTGGATCCTTTCTTGGATACACAGAATATAACTGGATATAACATTTATAGGGAACGTTGATCCAGGGAATATCCGGGTGCCTCTCGGGGGGTCAGGAAGGAATTTTTTTCTCATGCAAGAGCAAATCGGATCGTGCTTTCCTGGGTTTTTTGTCTTCCTCTGGATCAACTGTGGGTGTAGGATTATAACTTTTTTTTTTCTATGGTTGAACTGGATGGACTTTTGTCTTTTTTCAGCCAGACTAACTATGTAACTATGTTTCAGCTGTTAGTGGGGTTCCTCGCTGACAGCTGAATGTAAAAAGAATTGGTGGCACTGCCCAACAATTAAATTTTTTTTTAACAAACAGCATGGGGTCACCTCTCCCATCTATACCAAACTGTTTGGGTTTGGTTTGGATTTTGAGGGGAACCCCCACGGCAAAATTTTTAAAAAAAATATGGTGTGGCCTCCCCCTCCCAAATCCATACCAGACCCTTATCCGAGCATGCAGCCTGGCAGGTCAGGAAAGGGGGGACGACGACAAGCGAGCTCCCCCCTCCTGAACCATACCAGATGCCCTCAATATGGGGGTGCTCTTTGGGCCAGGGGGCTTACCCCCCAAAGCACCTTGTCCCTATGTTGATGGGGACAAGGGCTCTTTCCCACAACTCTGGGCGGTGGTTGTGCGGGTCTGCGGGCGGGGGGGTTATCGGATCATGGAAGCCTTCTTTAACAAGGGGGCCCCCAGATCCATGGCCCTCCATGTGAATGAGTATGCGGTACATGGTACCATTACCCGTTCACAAAAAAAAGTGCAGTGTAAAAAATGACAGGAAATAGTCTTTGACAAGTCCTTTATTAAAACCAAAAATGTTAAAAACATGTCCCGGAACAATGACTGACAGATGCTGTTGACAGACGTATTCTTCAATTTCTCTTATCATTAACGTATTTCATGTACTTGCAATCTGCTTTTCTTCTGTTTTTTCTCTTCATTATTATGATATCTTTTTCTGAATTGTACTTTTCCAAAGTGCCTTGTTTTTTTTGCTGTTAATATTTGAAAATGTGCTGTTATTTTATTGTCTACTTATACTCAATAAAATCGTTTGTAAACAAAAAAAAACATGTCCCCCAAAGTAGATCCAATGTCAATCACGATGCCTGCGGCCGCTAACCGACAAGAGAATATAAAAAACTGCTGTACCCACCCTGCCCTCTTGTGACTTCATCCTGTGCTGTGATTGGCCAAAGCATTGACCAATCACAGTGCACTGTCAGGGCACAGTGCATTGACCAATCCCAATGCACTGTCAGGGCACAGTGCATTGTGGGGTGTGGCAGGCGAACACACGAACGGTCTATGTTTGAGTCACACTTAGGTTCCACTCGAACATGGAGCCCAACACTAGTGATGCCCAAGAAAGAGATTCTGTGGACGGGTGTCTTACACATAACGAGTTGTTGTTAGGAGCGCCTTCTTCCATTGACAGGACTGATCTGTGTACCACATGAGCACAGAGCCAGTCTGTGGGAGCCAGAATCAGTGTTGGTTGGTAGGGGATCAAATACTGATTTTACTCACTCAACTCAACTGCAACTCCATTTATAACATTTGTATCATGTGATTTTTCTGGATTTTTGGTTGATATTCTGTCTCTATCATGTAAAATACATCTATGATAAAAATTATACACCCTTCATTTCTGTGTAAGTGGGCGAACCTACACAATCTGCAGGGAACCAAATCAGTATTTTCCCCACTGTATACTGGAATTTAAGCAGCTTTTACTTTCTGACTGCCTGTCACATTTCTTGAGGTGCTATAATGCCAAGGCCAGTACAACCCCCCCAAATGAACACTTTTCAGAGAGTGGAAACCCTGAACTATTTGCTGAGAGGCATGTTGAGTCCATGGAAGATTTTTATTTTTTTTTTCCACAAGTTTTTGGAAAATGACAAAAAAAAAAGTTTTTTTTTTTTTCAAAAAGTTGTACTTTAAAGGCTTTATTGCTCACATATTATTATTATATTATTATACAGGATTTATGGCGCCAACAGTTTGCTCAGCGCTTTACAATATAACGGGAGACAATACAGCAACAATACAGTTCAATACAAGAGGGATAGGAGGGCCTAATCCTGGGAGCTTGCAATCTAGGACATGTGATGGGTATATGTGGAGTTACTCCCCAAAACACTTTCTGCTACTTCTCCCGAGTATGGGGGGTACCACATGTGAGAGACGTTTTGGCAGTCTAGCCACATATAGGACTCCAAAATCTAATAAGCACCTTCAGGCTTTTAAAGAGCATATTTCCTCATTACACTTCCTGACTACCTATTACAGTTTCGGAGGCCCTGAAATGCCAGGATAGCACCAACCCCCCCCCCCCCAAAAAAAAGACCCCTTTTTGGAAAGCAGACACCCCAAGGAATTTATTAAGAGGCATGGTGAGTATTTTGCAGATCTCATTTGTTGGCACAAGTTTGTGGAAAATGAAGAGCGAAAACGAAAATGTATTAAAAATAATTTTTCAAGGCCTTGTTGGCGATACCTCACATGCATGGTGCAACCATTGCTTACATACCGAAACGGGACAGACAGTTGCATTCGCCTTTGCACATGAGAATGCGTGCTTTGTTTTATTATTATTTATTTTGATTTTTTAAAATTTTTTACACTGTCCCTTTCATTTTTTGTTATCATGTTTATTGTTATCACAGGGAATGTAAGTATCCCCTGTGATAGCAAATATGCAGTGACAGGTATTCGGCTGAGAAATCTGGGGTCTTTTAGACTCTAGATCTCTCCTCTTCCCTCAGAGTATCTGATCTCACCAAGATCGCTGTGATCAGATGCTTTCCTAATTTTAAAGTGGCGCTGTTTATATCCGGCGAAGCCGAATTTATTAAATGCTCGTAGCTTCTGGTTTCTTAGACCATAGATATGATTAGAGCTGTTCTGGTCTCCAATCAGCTGTATGGTCAGGTGGTGAAAATGCCAGCTGCATTCTCAGGTTTCCCGATGGAACAGGACATCCTGAGAAAGCCTTTGAAGGGGGGTGGCATCCCCTCCCACTGCTTGTAAAAGAAATCCTGCAGCTAATTAGCCACTAGGATTACTTTTTAAAAAAACAATACCAGGTTGATGGCATCCATCACCAGGCATCATCCCGGTATAGCCACTTAAATTCCAGAGACATACCAGTACACCACTGGTCCTTGTTGGGCATATCTACTATGTTTTTTTAATGCAGCCTGTGGGCTGACTGAAAAAAACAGAAGAAATCTCCAACTGAAAAAGTGTGTAGTATGCCCACCATTAGAATATACCACCCTTTATCCAACCACTTCTAATGCTGGTCATACACGAAATATTCTTTATTTTTGTTCAGCCAAAAGAACAGATTCCTCCATTCACATCGATTGAAAAAATTAAAAAATATATGCAGAAGCATAGGAGCGATCCACCCACTTACCATCCTAGTCCCCCATGCTTGGGCATATATGTTCTTTTTTTTTAACTGCGGATGATAAATCTCCTCCAGCAGTGCTGCATGCACTGATGTATATTCTGAGAGCAAGTTCCCGTTGCTGTCAGAATAAACAGATCTGTGCTGCAGCTGAATGGCAACTTTTTTCAACTTTTTTTTATTGAAACCTGTGCTGGAAATATGAAAAATATATATGCCAAGCATATTGAATTCAAGTGTAGTACCGTGATAGGTGGCCACCTGTGCAATAAGTCCATCTGTGACATTTCCTGGCTACTAAATATTCCACGCTCAACTGTTAGTGGGATTATAACAAAGTGGAAGCCACTGGGAACAATAGCCACTCAGCCACCAAGTGGTAGGCTACGTCACATGACAGGGCAGGGTCAGCGCATGCTGAAGCGCACAGTGCGCAGAAGTTGCCAACTGTCTGCAGAGTCAATAGTTAAAGACCTCCAAACTTGGTGTGGCCTTCAGATGAGCCCAATAACAATGCGTAGAGAGCTTCATGGAATGGGTTTCCATGGCCGAGCAGCTGCATCCAAGCCTTCCATCAGCAAGTGCAATGCAAAGCGTCGGATGCTGTGGTGTAAAGCACGCCGCCACTGGACTCTAGAGCGATGGAGATGTGTTCTCTGGAGTGATCAATCACGTTTTCTCTGTCTGGCAATCCCATGGACGTGTCTGGGTTTGGCGATTGCCGGAAGAATGGTACTTACCTGACTGCATTGTGCCAAGTGTAAAGTTTGGTGGACGGGGGATTATGGTGTGGGGTTGTTTTTCAGAGGTTGCGCTTGGCCCCCTAGTTCCAGTGAAGTGAATTCTTAAGGCGTCAGCATACCAAGACATTTTGGACAATTTCATGTTCCCAACTTTGAGGGAAGAGTTTGGGGATGGCCCCTTCCTGTTCCAACATGACTGCCCACCAGTGCACAAAGCAAGGTCCATAAAGACATGGAGGAGCCAGTTTGGGGTGGAGGAACTTGACTGTCCTGCACAGAGTCCTGACCTCAACCCCATAGAACACCTTTGGGATGAATTAGAGCGGAGACTGCGAGCCAGGCCTCCTCCCCCCGACATCAGTGCCTGACCTGACAAATGTGCTTCTGGAAGAATGGTCCAACCTTCCCATAGACACCCTCCTAAACCTTGTGGACGGCCTTCCCAGAAGAGTTGAAGCTGTTATAGCTGCAAAGGGCGGGGCCAACTCAATATTGAACCCTACGGACTAAGACTGGGGGGGCCATTAAAGGTCATGTGTGTGGAAAGGGCGGGGCCAACTCAATATTGAACCCTACGGACTAAGACTGGGAGGCCATTAAAGGTCATGTGTGTGGAAAGGGCGGGGCCAACTCAATATTGAACCCTACGGACTAAGACTGGGAGACCACGAAAGGTCATGTGTGTGGAAAGGGCGGGGCCAACTCAATATTGAATCATACGGACTTTGACTGGGAGGCCACAAAAGGTCATGTGTGTGGAAAGGGCGGGGCCAACTCAATATTGAATCATACGGACTTTGACTGGGAGGCCACGAAAGGTCATGTGCGTGGAAAGGCAGGCGGCCCAATACTTTTGGCAATATAGTGTATATTCTTCTTTTTTTTAATTGCAGATGGTAACTGCTTCTTAATTTCACAAACCCCCAAATCCTTTCCTTTATCTATCAATTTCCAAGACACTGTTTGAGACACTGTGCGGGGTCCTGCTTAATAACCGAGTACAAAGTGAACACTGAGCGGTCACAGCGCCCCCTCTTCATACTGTGTACACAGAAGAACTACAACAGCTTCACCTTTATCAGCTTCTCTAATTACAAGATCTTTCCTTTCTGTATATCAGTATATTCACCTCTAGTGATGTTATGTTACTTTTCCACAAATGGGAATAATTCCTCATATTTCCTCAGGCTCCACCTCCACCACATCTCCAAAATACGTTCGTTCCTAACCCCGGAAACTACTAAACAACTCGTTCACTCCCTCATTATCTCACGTCTTGACTACTGCAACTCCCTCCTCACCGGCCTCCCTCATCACAGACTATCCCCGCTTCAGTCTATCCTTAACTCAGCGGCCAGACTCATCCACCTTACCAACCACTCCGCTTCTGCCACCCCCCCCTCTGCCAATCCCTCCACTGGCCTCCATTCAGTGTCCTCCACCCCCCTCTGCCAATCCCTCCACTGGCCTCCATTCAGTGTCCTCCACCCCCCTCTGCCAATCCCTCCACTGGCCTCCATTCAGTGTCCTCCACCCCCCTCTGCCAATCCCTCCACTGGCCTCCATTCAGTGTCCTCCACCCCCCCTCTGCCAATCCCTCCACTGGCCTCCATTCAGTGTCCTCCACCCCCCTCTGCCAATCCCTCCACTGGCCTCCATTCAGTGTCCTCCACCCCTCTCTGGCATGCCCTTCACTGGCTCCCGATTGCCCATCGCATCAAATTCAAACTACTATCCAAATACGACCCAACCCATATTCTTCGCTCCTCACAGGACCTCCTACTTTCTAGCGCCCTGGTCTCCACCTCCCATGCCCGACTGCAGGACTTCTCCAGGACTTCCCCCATCCTCTGGAACTCTCTACCCCAATCCATCAGACTATCACCTTCCCTCCTCACCTTTAGGCGCACCCTGAAAACCTATCTCTTCAGGGAAGCCTACCCCACCCTCACCTAACAGCCGATCTCCTCCACTCCTCCTACCACTCCATCCCCCACAGTCACTTCCTCATATACCACTATCCTCTCCCTCCTAGATTGTAAGCTCCCAGGATCAGGGCCCTCGATCCCCTCGTGTATTGTATTGTTACTGTATTGTTTCATGTACTGTTCCCCACTATAATGTACAGCGCTGAGCAAACCTTCTGCCGCCATATAAATCCTGTATAATAATAATATTTATCTGGAAATATTATATCCTGTGTCTGTATTTGTCTCTGCAGGTTGGAAAAATGCGGTGTGACTTCCTCCTGCTGTGAGGATCTCCTCTCCATTCTCATCACTAACCCATCTCTAAGAATACTGGATTTATCAGATAATAATCTGCAGGACTCCGGAATAAGACGTCTGTGTGAGGGACTCCGACATCCTGGCTGTACTCTGCAGGAGCTGAAGTGAGTCCTTGTCTGCCATACAAAGTCCCCAGGCTTCCTGTCCTTGCTGTGGGCAGTGAGTGCCCATCCCCCCTCTCTGCTCCTGGTGGGGGTTCTGTTCAGGTATGAAGGTGGCATCCTATGGACATAACCCCTCCGGAGTCCCTCCACAACCACATATTATACTATGTTATTATTATTATACAGGATTTATGATGCCAACAGTTTGCTCAGCGCTGTACAATATAATGGGAGACAGTACAGTAACAATACGATTCAATACATGAGGGGTTCGAGGGCCCTGATCCTGGGAGCTTACAATCTAGGAGGGAGGGGAGAGTGGTACAGGAGGAAATATCTGTGGGGGATGGAGTGGTAGGAAGAGTGGAGGAGATCGGTAATTAGCAGCTGGCTTCATCTTCTGTTGGCTTCATCTTCTGTTGGCTTCATCTTCTTGTATTTTGTTCCTTTCTGTTTGGTTTCCTCATTACAAACAATTTCTCCATAAAATGAGTAGAGCTCTCCTCTGGTGAGGATCGTCCTCCTTATATTCTCCATCTGGAGGGTTTGGACAATTTTTGAATTCCAGGTTTTCTGGGTGAAATCAACAATAAAGTGGACTTTGTGTGTCATGTGTGTCATGTGTGTCTGTGCTATGAATTCTATCTGCAGATGTGTGACTTCACCAAAGACTTCTGGATCATCTCCTGACCAAGTCCCCCCTGAGTCCCCCTATGTCAGGCCTTGTCTGCTCCTGTTCAGTATCTGCTCATCATTTCTCTGTGTGATCTCAGTAATGATATGGGAGACATTCTACTCCAGAGACAAGCTTCCTACAGAGTGAATGGACTGCTGGAGAGATTTACACCCCTCCCCCTTCCATGGATCATCAGAAGGGGATTTACTGACTTTTCTCACCTTGATGATGGGACCCCATTATCTTCTTCCTTCTTTCTTTTCTATGAGTTGTATGATGACCATACCCTAAGAGTTGTTGGTTCTTTCCTAATATACTCTCATGTGTCTGTATTTGTCTCTGCAGGTTGGTTGGATGTGATCTGACTTCCTCCTGCTGTGATGATCTCCGCTCCATTCTCATCACTAACCCATCCCTCACCAGCCTGGATTTATCAAAGAATGATCTCCAAGACTCTGGAATGAGACATCTGTGTGAGGGACTCCGACATCCTGGCTGTACTCTGCAGGAGCTGAGGTGAGAATTCTACTATAAATGATCTCATATTCTGCAGGACTCTGATATATATCTTCAATGTGAGGGACTCCAAGATCCAGGAGATGAGGGGAGAATTCTACTATAAATGATCTCATATTCTGCAGGACTCTGATATATATCTTCAATGTGAGGGACTCCAAGATCCAGGAGATGAGGGGGAGAATTCTACTATAAATGATCTCATATTCTGCAGGACTCTGATATATATCTTCAATGTGAGGGACTCCGAGATCCAGGAGATGAGGGGGGAATTCTACTATAAATGATCTCATATTCTGCAGGACTCTGATATATATCTTCAATGTGAGGGACTCCAAGATCCAGGAGATGAGGGGAGAATTCTACTATAAATGATCTCATATTCTGCAGGACTCTGATATATATCTTCAATGTGAGGGACTCCGAGATCCAGGAGATGAGGGGGGAATTCTACTATAAATGATCTCATATTCTGCAGGACTCTGATATATATCTTCTATGTGAGGGACTCCGAGATCCAGGAGATGAGGGGGGAATTCTACTATAAATGATCTCATATTCTGCAGGACTCTGATATATATCTTCTATGTGAGGGACTCCGAGATCCAGGAGATGAGGGGGGAATTCTACTATAAATGATCTCATATTCTGCAGGACTCTGATATATATCTTCTATGTGAGGGACTCCGAGATCCAGGAGATGAGGGGAGAATTCTGCTATGAATCATATTCAGAATACAACATCTGTGTGAGGGATCCAGACATTTTAGGGGGCCTGAGTGTCCTGAGGGGCCTGGGTGTCCAGGGGTAGATCAACCATTTGGGCACCTGGGTTAGCAGAGGGCCCCATGAGAGGCTCCTGATAAGTGCTTGGAGCCCCCACAACCAGCAGTCTGCACTTGGCTGGAGTTGGCAGCTGGATGCCTTCACACAGGACACCATACACAGTCTGGAGTTGGACTCTGGAGTTACCGAGCTGCAGAGATCCCCACCCCATGGAGGAGATAGGACCAATTGTCAGCCAACATTGTCCAGGGTGGAGGTGGAGACACAGAGACCTGGCAGTCCAGAGCTGTTAAGATACACAGTAAGAGCCGGTTCCTAGTCCTCCATGCGGCTATATTCCGTGTGGCCATGTCAGTGTGTGTGGGGGGTTGGTAGTCCCTGTCCCTCTTTGACACAGTAGGAGCCGGTTCCTAGTCCTCCATGTGGCTGTATTCCGTGTGACCGTGTCAGTGTGTGTGGTTGGTAGTCCCTGTCCCTCTTTGACACAGTAGGAGCCGGTTCCTAGTCCTCCATGTGGCTGTATTCCGTGTGACCCGTGTCAGTGTGTGTGGTTGGTAGTCCCTGTCCCTCTTTGACACAGTAGGATCCGGTTCCTAGTCCTCCATGCGGCTATATTCTGTGTGACCGTGCCACTGTGTGTGGGGGGTTGGGAGTCCCTATCCCTCTTTGACACAGTAGGATCCGGTTCCTAGTCCTCCATGCGGCTATATTCCATGTGGCCGTGTCAGCGTGTATGAGGGGTTGGGAGTCCCTGTCCCTCTTTGACACAGGTTACCACTACCAGTAGGCAGCAGCTTACATACAGTGCCAGTCCCGGCTGCGACTCCTGCTGCAAACACCGGAGTCAGTGAGGTGACCATCCCATCCAATCATGCAGTGAACTGTGAAGTCCACAATCGTAAAATTCCCCCATAAGATGCTGTGAGGCCAGGTATACGAGGAAACCCCCAGGTCATATTAATCAATGATCATTTTATCTGCGACCACAGGCCCATCTCCATCCCATCACACCTTCCTACCACAGGCCCATCTCCATCCCATCACACCTTCCTACCACAGGTCCATGTCCATCCCATCACACCTTCCTACCACAGGTCCATCTCCATCCCATCACACCTTCCTACCACAGGCCCATCTCCATCCCATCACACCTTCCTACCACAGGTCCATGTCCATCCCATCACACCTTCCTACCACAGGCCCATCTCCATCCCATCACACCTTCCTACCACAGGTCCATCTCCATCCCATCACACCTTCCTACCACAGGTCCATCTCCATCCCATCACACCTTCCTACCACAGGCCCATCTCCATCCCCATCACACACCTTCCTACCCACAGGTCCATCTCCATCCCATCACACCTTCCTACCACAGGCCCATCTCCATCCCATCACACCTTCCTACCACAGGTCCATCTCTATCCCATCACACCTTCCTACCACAGGTCCATCTCCATCCCATCACACCTTCCTACCACAGGCCCATCTCCATCCCATCACACCTTCCTTCCACAGGTCCATGTCCATCCCATCACACCTTCCTGCCAAAGGTCCATGTCCATCCCATCACACCTTCCTACCACAGGTCCATGTCCATCCCATCACACCTTCCTACCACAGGTCCATGTCCATCCCATCACACCTTCCTACCACAGGTCCATGTCCATCCCATCACACCTTCCTACCACAGGTCCATGTCCATCCCATCACACCTTCCTACCACAGGCCTATCTCCATCCCATCACACCTTCCTGCCACAGGTCCATGTCCATCCCATCACACCTTCCTACCACAGGCCCATCTCCATCCCATCACACCTTCCTACCACAGGCCCATCTCCATCCCATCACACCTTCCTACCACAAGGCCAGCCATGGAAACCCATTTACTGGTGCAATCGTCATAAGATTTCTTTGTGTACATCCAGCACATGAATGGCTAATGCTGCAGCTGCTGCACACGATAACTAGAATACATTGCATTGAGGATTGCACCAGTAAATGGGTTCCCTCTAGAGCAGAACTCCAGGAAAAAAAAAAATACTTTTGTCCCATGCAATGTGACTGTGCCGGCACTGCAGGGGTCAACTGTTTGTTTTGTCCAGGGGTGTACATGGAGCCTATACTCACCTGATCCTTTGATCCTCCTGAAAGTGGCGCTCACCCACGTCCAGTGGTGGACTGTTCCTGTCATCCTCACGTCTAGAGCTAGCCTATGGGCATTATGGCATCAGGAACACTCTTCCACACCGGTAGACCAGGGTTTCTCTACCAGGGTTCCTCCAGAGGTGGCCAGGGGTTCCTTGAGCAATCAGCAAGCTTTGCCTCTCAGGTAAGTTCCCAAGGACACCATAGATCTTTATAGCAATCTGTAAGGGGGAGTTCAACCCAATGACCACAAGTGTGAGGAGCGTTCTTACCTCTGACCATCACACTTATGTATCATGAATTGTAGATGTAGTCATTTTTAGCCGGGGTTCCCTGAGACCGGAAAGTTACGTCAAGGGTTCCTCTTGAGAAAGGCTGCAGCAGATGGTGGGGGGGGGGGGGGGGGGCAGGAGCGGCAGGGACCGGTCTGTGCTGGGAGGATCAGTAGATAAGGTAAGTAGATCTCTGCTCTCATCACCCCTGGATGAAGGTGAGTAGTTATCTCATACAGCCACACTGCGCTCAACAAAAGAGATTTTGCCCAGAGTTCTACCTTAACCCCAAACAGCTTTGTGTTTACCGGCTGGGCCTGGAGGTACAAAGGTGTGATGGCAAAAAAAACTGCGCTAAGTGCACATAAATCTTCACAGCATAGAAATACCATCTCCTCCTCCTATGTATGCACCAAAAACTGCGCCGTGTACATCCATATCATCCAGTAGTGTTGGGGTGAGTGTTCGAGTCGAACCTAACATGGGCCATTCATGTATTCACTGAACACACGAACGGTACAGGCATTCCGTGGACTGTTCTCCCACTGCGCCCCACAATGCACTGCACCCTGACAGTGCATTGTGATTGGTCAAAGCAATGCAGCTCATGTGCAATGCTTTGGCCAATCACAGCACAGGATGACGTCACAAGGGGCTATGACATGACAGTGTGACAGTCTTTAAGAACTGTCACCGGGTCACAGCTGTCAGATGGCGGGAGCCGACGTTGTGAGCGGAGCGCTTTTTTAAAAATAGTTTTGGGTAGCGGCAGCGGCGGGCGTCGTGATTGGCGTTGGATCCACTGCGGGGGACAGCTTTTGTTATTATCTTTAATAAAGGATTTGTCAGAGAATGTCTCCTGTCATTTTTACACTACACTGTTTTTGTGAATGGGTAGCGGTACCATGTACCACATACTCATTCACATGGGGTGGGCTGGGGTCTGGGGGCCCCCTAGTTAAAGGGGCTTCCAGATTCTGATAAGTCTCCCCCCCACAAATACAGCCCAGGGTTGTGCAGAAGAGGCCCTTGTCCCCATCAACATGGGGACAAGGTGCTTTAGTGGGGAGCCCCCTGACCCAAAGCAATCCCCCCCCCATGTTGAGGGCATGTGGCCTGGTATGGTTCAGGAGGGGGGGGGGTCACTTGCTTATCCCCCCTCTTTTCCTGACCTGCCGGGCTGCATGCTCGGATAAGGGTCTCAAATGGATTTTGGGGGGACCCTCATGCCATTTTTTTTTTAAATTTTGGTGTGGGGGTTCCCCTCAAAATCCATACCAGACCCAAAGGGCTTGGTATGGATGGGTGGGAGGGGGGCCCCACGTTGTTTTTTAAAAAATGTTTTTAATTGTCGGGCACTGTGGACATTTCTTTTTCCATTCAGCTGTGAGCAGGGAACCCCACTGACACCAGGAACCCCACTGACACCAGGAACCCCACTGACACCAGGAACCCCACTGACACCAGAGACATGAATGAATGTCTCACTACTAACATACCACGTGACTTCATCATAGAACTCCCGCCGGATTGTAGTCACTGAGCGGGATCTCACCGCATACTCAGATGCCGGAAGATATCGCTCAGTCTATTGTTCATGTTTGAAGTTCGCGGTCGAACATTCTGTAGGTTTAAATGTTCGGCCGCAAACCAAACAAGGGGGGTGTTCAGCCCATCACTATTATCCAGTTATTCCCTCTTCAAGTGATAATAAAGATACAGTTGTGTTGAAAATAATATCAGTGTGTTGAAAAAAGTGACTGAAGCTGCAAATCCTTCTAATCCTTTTCTTTCCATCCACACAAATGCATTGGGAACACGACACATTCTATTCCAAATCACAGCAGGAAGAAAAATGCATCAAATTTGTGTTGTTCCTCTAAAAAAATGGAAGAAAAGTGAATATTAGACGGTTCAAAAAAATGGCCGTGTTTGTATTCTTCTTTACAAACTCCAACATTCACTATATAAACTGAGAAATGTTTGAAGATTTTGCTTTCCTTTGAATGACTTCATGAATATTTGGTTGTAGTCGCACTGTTTCTGAGAACTGCTGTACATCTGTGTTGCATGGAGTCCCCCAACTTCTGGCCCCTGTGATCAGGTATTCCAGGCCAGGATGATTGGACCACATTCCACAGTTCTTCTCTATTTCTTGGTTTGGCCTCAGAAACGGCATTTTTGGTGTCACCCCACAAGTTTTCTATTGGATGAAGATCCGGGGATTGGGCTGGCCACTCCATAACGTCCATCTTGTTGGTCTGGAACCAAGATGTTGCACGTTTACTGGTGTGTTTGGGGTCGTTGTCTTGTTGGAACACCCATTTCAAGGGCATTTCCTCTTCAGCATAAGGCAGCATGACCTCTTCAAGTATTCTGATGTCTTCAAACTGATCCATGATCCCTGGTATGCGATAAATAGGCCCAACACCGTAGTATGAGAAACATCCCCATATCATGATGCTTGCACCACCATGCTTCACGGTCTTCACAGTGTACTGTGGCTTGAATTCAGTGTTTGGGGGTCGTCTGACAAACTGTCTCCGCCCACTAGACCCAAAAAGAACAATCTTACTTCCATCAGCCCACAAAATGTTGCCCCATTTCTCTTTAGGCCGGTCAATGTGCTCTTTGACAGATTGTAACCTCTTCAGCACACGTCTTTTTCCCAACAGTGGGACTTTGCGGGGACTTCTTGCAGATAGCTTGGCTTCACATAGGCATCTTCTAATTGTAACAGTCCTCACAGGGAACGTCACACCTTCTTTCATCTTCCTGGAGCTGATTGTTGGCTGAGTCCTCACAGGGAACGTCACACCTTCTTTCATCTTCCTGGAGCTGATTGTTGGCTGAGTCCTCACAGGGAACGTCACACCTTCTTTCATCTTCCTGGAGCTGATTGTTGGCTGAGTCCGCCCCATGTTGGCTATTCTTCTATCCATTCCAATGGTAGTTTTTCGCTTTCTTCCACATCTTTCAGGTTTTGGTTGCCATTTTAAAGCATTTGCAATCATTTTAGCTGAGCAGCCCGATCATTTTCTGCACTTCTTTATATGTTTTCCTCTCCAATCAACTTTTTAATCAAGGTACGCTGTTCTTCTGAACAATGTCTGGAACGACCCATTTTCCTCAGAATTTCAGAGAGAAATGCACTGTAACCAGCATGTCCAACATTTGCTGCCTTCCTTCCTTAAATAAGGGCAATAATTGCCACCTGTTTATCAAAATAATGAATGACGTCACTAATATAGAACTCCACACGGCTATTATTGTGAACACGCCCCTTTCAATGAGTGATTCAATGACACAGAATCAGCAGCATGCATGTCATGACTGTCGGGTCTGTTGGATTTCTATGACTCTACTACACCTGCTAGGAAATTATTTGCCATGTAGAAATATCATTTCCACCAAAAACAGCGATTGATCCGGTTAGTGATGTCTGACTGCTAGTATTTTTAACACAACTGTATAAATACATTGAAATACATGTCCATAAAGGGAGTCATGAAACATTCATCTTCCGTGAATTCAAGAGTCCATGATATCTTAAATGACACCCAGTGAAGTGTGAATCCACCGCCAACACAGCCAACCTATTACCGGCTGGCGTAGGTGACATCACACAAACGCCGTCCCACCCCATGTACGTTTCGTCTCACCAGACATTGTCAAGGGGATCAGTCAGCAGCGTTTTTACTGCATGTGTTTCATCTAAAGATGCTTCGTAAGTCGTTTTTTGGCTTCCATGAATAAATTTTATAACGGGACTTCACTATTGGAGATTTATCTTTTTTACACCGAATCCTATTCAGATCAGGAGAAGGAGATTGTGACAGACCCAACCAGGACAGGGACTTTCGGAGGGGACTGCAGGCTAACCTCTTGCCTACTGACCATGGCCCTGGCATCTGAGGGGGCTCTATTCTTTGGTGTGTGCCTGGGGGGGGGGGGGGGGGACCTTTGGAGTAGTTTACTTTTGATTCGAGTCCACGTCTCCCCAAACTGCACAGACTCTGAGAACTGGAGGACCAGGAGACAGATTTGGGGTCTCTGTGCCCCAAACCAGCATTGACTGCTTCAACCCTCCCTTCCTAGACTCAGAGACTCTAATCAGATGTTGATATAATCAGCAAAACAATCTCATGCTGAGGACTGTGGCTCTGATCTGTTTATCACGGTGTGATGTGCTTACTATAGTCTCCCATTGTGTGCCTCCTAGGTGTGCATTCCCATTGGTTAATGAGTCACCTATTCTTTCTGTCTGTTGGCGAGTCCTTCTGGAGGTGCCTACATGATAGGATTAGACTGACATCAGCTTCACCTTGTTATCTACTCAGTGTGTGATATTTATCATAATGTATAATATTTGTGTTTATTGTTCCTGTGGGGACTGCCCCCATTTCTGGAATGTATTAAAACTATTTCTGTTCAATAAAGTAGTTCCTGTTCGGCATCTCAAGCTAGTCTTGTCTTGGGTGCAGTGCCCGTCTATAATACCTTGGTCCTGGGTCCTAGTGGTGAGGAAGCTGTTCTCTGACAGAGTCACCCAGTCGGAGTGACAGGCATTCTGTTACAGAGATTATAGGACCAATCATGTCAGACCGCCTATGATTTGGGGTCTGATGGTCTGGTAAGAGGGTGGCTGTGTTGGATTCACACTTCACTGGGTCTCATTTAAGATATCATGGACACCCGAATTCCTGGAAGATGAATGTTTCATGATTCACTTTATGGACATGTTATTGAATTTGTAAATATTTATTTCAATTTATTTATATATTTGTTATCACTTTAAGGGGGAATTTCGCAAAAAAACAATTGTTGTACACAGTGGAGCAATAGGAAGGTGTGATGGGCCTGTGATCACAGACAAAGAGATGATTGATTCTCAGGGTTTCATGATAGAACCTTCAAAATACAAAAGTGTCCACAATGATGCTGAGCTTCTTGGTACAGGTTCTTCTTCCACCTCCACCATGTCTGGACTCTGGAGACAAGTCAGAACGGGGGGATCGGGGTACTACATTCTACTTATACATTCACCAACTGCATGTGATATCCGATTGCCTCTCGGGGGGATCAGGAAGGAATTGTTTCCCCTGCAGGAGCAGATTGGATCGTGCTTTGTTGGGTTGTTTGCCTTCCTCTGGATCCACTGTGGGTGTAGGATCACAACTTCTTTTTTTTTTTCTTTGGTTGAACTGGATGGACTTTTGTCTTTTTTCAGCCAGACTAACTATGTAACAAATGTTATTGTTATCTGCTGCAGCCAGTCAGCTTTGACCAAAGTTGAATAATGCCCTTCCTGTAGATGTAGGCCATTTACATACCACATGGAGCCTGACTGGAACACTTCTGGGACATTGCTAAGGATGTTCCCAAGAGACGCCCAGTTGTGACTCTTCACCAATGCATCAGGAGAGGGAGCGTGCATGTGATGGGGTCTGAATCAGGAAGAGCTCCCTTCTGTGATGGTGGTCAGTAACAGCTGGGTGTCTTTTTAACAATGTCCTTAGCAATGTCCTGGGAGTGTTCCAGTCAGGCTTCATGAAGTATGTAAATGACCTACAACAGGTGTCAAACTGGCCGCCCTCCAGCTGTTGCCAAACTACAAGTCCCATGAGGCATTGCAAGATGGACAGTTACAAGCATGACTCCCAAAGGCAGAGGCATGATGGAACTTGTAGTTTTCGCAACAGCTGGAGGGCCGCCAGTTTGACACCCCTCTTTTTTATTGTCCGCAAACGTGCAACTATAACGAAAAAACCCGTAAGTGTTCACAAAAAATGTGCAAGTGCAAAACACCACACGAAAAAGTGCACTTAGGGGTGTGCTGTGTCCTACCCCTAAAGGGGCTTGGACCACTTACCCTGATCCCCCGGGGCACGAAGCTCCTGATGGGGACAAGGTTCCCAATTGGTCCTCCTGGCCAAAAGACCTGGTGGACCACCGTTCCCTATGCCCAGCCAAAGCCGGACATCTAGTACTAGGCAAGGAGGCTCTCCCGAAGAAGAGTCCCCTAGGGATCAGGGGAGGAAGGAACCGTATGGCCACACATCCTCCCCCTAGACTTCAGGGTAGGCCCGAGGACCCACACCCTCCATCCGTGAAAAACACACACATAAGAGCAAAAAAGTGACAAACGTGGGAAGTGCATAATAAATAAAGAGAAAGAAAAAATAAAAAAGTGGTACCGTGCCGAATTGTGCACAGACCAGGCCCTGAGGCCCGTAGCAAAAATTGCCCTGGACTTAGCCAAAAGGCCTGGTCCTTAGGGCGCTGTGCAAAAAGATGTGTAAAAACAGTGACCATGTGTC